TATTTTTGAAAGAAATGTATTAAATTTGTAATTGGTTTGGTTTGATACTTCAAAAGCTAACCCAACCATTAAATTAAAAGATAATAATTTTTGGTTGGCCAGCAAAGCACTTTGTATTTAGTTCAATTTGCCTGTTGTTTAAATTCGAGTGATTTAAAGGACATACTCTTATATTAATGTATACATTTAAAGAAATTAAATTGTTGTAAATAAATTAAATTTTTTTAAATATTGATTTAGAGACACTTTAATTGTCAAAAAAAAAAACAAAACAAAATGTGTATCTCTAAATGTAATTGGTAAATGATATTTTTAATATAAATTTCACACATCTTTAATATTAAATAACTAACTTTTTATATACCAAAAATATAAATTAAGTAATGATATGTGATCAATTTATTTATACGTTGTTAAATAAGTAAATATATAATATTATGAGTCGTAATATAATAAAAAAAGTCAATTACTAAATAGTATATAAAATTAATTATTTGAAAAAATTATATATAAAAATTCTCTCTAAATCATTTTCACACCTCACATGTTCCTTCTTGTGGTTCAATAAACCAGTCTCGTAATTTTTTTTTTTTTTTGAAAAATAAAGGAAATAGAATTACATAAACAGAAACCATATCAACGAGTTCTAGGGAATTCAATCCCTATAATATCCACAATACATGCATATTTAGCAGCTTGGGAAATACAATTATACAATAAAAAACAAGAAAGTCCTCCACAATATTGTGCCCCATTTTAGCAATAGTATCCACTGCCATATTAGCTTCACGAACCACATGAAAAACCTTAACATGAGGTATCTGCTGCAACAAGTCCCTATAGTAAAAAAGAAGAGAGCTAATAAGATGGGACTCAGAGGGATCTTTAGACAATAAAGAAATAGTAGTAATTGAATCAGGCTCACAATTAAATGAGATTTATTTCTATCAACAGCCAACCACAAACCATCCCTAATTGTTCATAATTTTGCCACCAGAATAGATTACCAACCAATCTTTTTGGTGTAAACTAGTCTTGTGATTTGATTTATAATTACCCCTTTGAAGATATTTTTTTAACATTAGGAAATTTGGCGAGGGAAAAATGACAATTTTAAGATATAAAATCATGAACATAGATAACATTAGGGAAATGATTTTG